TGTGTGTGTGTGTGTGTGTGTGTGTGTGTGTGTGTGTGTGTGTGTGATGATGATGTGTGTGAACATTTATTGCGAGGGCCTCAACACATAAAGGTATGCACTCCAATTCATCGTCACCCCACCAGGCAGATAATCCATTGATCCCCTCCTCACTCCAATCAAGCGTCAAGCGTTTTCACAACTAAGCATGACCGATGCCATAACGAGCTGCAAACTGATTCACATTCGAAAAGACCAAATTCGATACCAAGCACGCATGTGATGGAGACTAATTAAAGCACGCCAATACACTACAAATCATTCATGAGAGACACACTGGAGAGAGAATTTCACAGAAAACAGATCCGCCAAAAATCCCATAAATTCCCAAGATGAACAATTACTCATTCCCTTTGCTGAACCAGTACTTCTCATGGATACTCCATCATTCAACAAACTCGCACCCATCCTCATACAATTCTTAACTGAGCGCCTACTCAGACTATTCCCAATACACAAAGTTCACTCGCACCGAGGTCAACCCGACTACTCCAAGCGCTACCCCATTACCTGAATACTGACTAATACCCCCACTACTGATCCGGTCTCGTCGATCCGATAGATCGCACCCCGGGCCACTGTCATTCACCCGCCATACCCCAAGACCACTCAGCGAATAAACTTCCACGGAGAGATCACCGTGCTCATTTAGCACCGCACCCATTACCCACCGCTCCACCAATTGATCAGAGACCCCCCACTCCGTGTACGAGCCATACACCTACTCCACTCCTAATCAGACTGTAGTGTCATGATCTCATTCGAAAGATGCATCCGAAACCAGGGCTCCCTCCACTCGCCGCTCAGCACAAGCGATGATCAACGTCCCTGCTTCCGACATTATCCTGCATACATCAACTAGGCAGGCATCCCCCACAGGCCATCAAGTCGCCATATCCATCCAACCGACCCACCAAGTTGGGAACAAAACAGGAATGCCAAGGCAACACACTTCATCCATAGTACACCAACAACACACATGCAAGACCGTGATAAGCCCTCACTATGGATAGCCAAAACCTGGACAGAGACGATGACGATAAAAAATGAACAAAATAATAATTGAAATTCATGTAGATAGTGAAGAAGGAGGAAAGACGATGTTCATAACACATCCATGCATGCAATAGGTTCAATAAACCAATACGGTATAGTTTGGTTCTCACACATATACACCGATCACCACCTTACCACAACAAGGGTAGGCGATCGTTCATACGTTATACATGGTCAGGGTAATGGCAATTTCCCTTAAACGTTTTTCGCTAGCCCTGCCAAAGGCTAGCTCAACAGAGAAAGTACTTATAGTATAGCACATAAATATAACGTTGGTAGTGTACGTACGAGAACCGTATTATTGAAACATTTACTATATGCTACGTGGCAGGGTATAGTGCTAGATGAGAGGGAGCGGGATGCGAGAATTTGCTACGAAAAAAAAAAAAAAACCTTCACCTCTGGCCGCGGGTCACCATGTCCTTCCTCCCGAACATCCTCCAATCCTTGATCAGCCAGGTGGAGATCGAGCATCTCCTGAAAGCTAAAAGGAGCTTCCATTCTCGTTCGCTCCGGCAAAGCACAGTACACGAGGGAACAGGCAGCAGCGTGCGCCCGACTCTCAACCAGTCAAGCAACCACGCTTGCGATAGCACAGTGTCTCCGGCAATAGTGGTGAGTACGGACGCATACAGAAACAACAGTTGCGGTGATAGCGCTGACTCACGCGTGTCGTCAGCAAGATCCTGGCAAGTGACTCATGTGCGCCTCAGTGCTCAGGTTATCATCCCGAACACTAAGACTTGTATGCATCACCGACCGAAGAGGGATTTGATAATCCTCGTTTCATATTAAATAGTAGGTAATTAGAGCACATCTACCTCGTCACTCTCATCGACTAAACCCTCGCCTACTAATTTCGGTTCATGAATCCTACCCGACATCGCGTTTGGGTCCATTTCAAAATCGAAAAAAAAAAAAAAAAAAAAAAAAAAAACCTTCCTTTATACGAGCCCCACCTTTGCTGTAGCACAGGTACCGGTTATCTGATCGGCCCCCCATTCCATTCCTCGCATGCCTCTCAACCCCAAGTGGTAAGCACCCAAGGGTATGCGAATTTTGTTGTTCTACCCCTTCCCTCATTAGCATTTTATCAGGGATTGTCAAAAAAAAAAAAAAGGTCCTATACACCCGTAGGGCCATACCGCACCAACCTGCACTCATTCCCACTCTCTAATAGTTGATGGTGTAACAGGGGATAACTCAACCCTGTATGCGTGTGTGTGTGTGTGTGTGTGTGTGTGTGTGTGTGTGTGTGGCCCGCCCGTAACCCGCTGGAGGAATAGATGACTAAGAGGGTCAGGGAGAGTACCTGACCCTCTTAGTCAGGTATCCCCCCAGCATCCCTCTCTTCACTCACCCACCAAGGGTTTAGACATTAGAGGACACATCACATCACCACAACCACCCAGACATCCGCATAAGCCACGCCATTCCTATATGGGTGAACTGCCTTACCTTTAGCAATGCCTTGGTGTCCCCGCTGCTGCATCTGAAATCTTGGAAGAGGTGGGGGTGGTCAAGGACCTTAAAAGCAGTACCAATTCACCTATTCCTCAGAAAACCATTCTCCACCATTGTTTCAATCAAGTTCTTGATATCCTTCGCTGCGTCCATCGTGGTAGACGTGAGCAACATGATTAAAGCAGTCTGGGATATGATTACATTGATGGATTGCCTAATTGGTCTATTCGAATCAAACTTGACAAATTAAGCTGGTTTGAAGGAGAGATTCAAAGTTTTGTCATGCTTCATCGTTACATAGCGCCCGCCGGATCAGAGAGAACCCGGATGTCCAAGTGCAAGAATTGAGCTAATGTCCCAAAAATCAACTTATCTGGTCCAATCGTAAATTCCCGAGTCTGTTTTTTTATTTCGATGATATCCAATGGGTAGATCCAAAATGGGTTATCTTCAGTCCTTGGTTGGTCTGGGTCCAAGAATTTCAGGATGGCCGAGTTATTAATGACATGCAGATCATCAATATACCGGAAAGTCAGTTTAAACATACTCGCAAGCTGAAAGGCTCCTAAGTTCAACAGTCTCCCTATGAACTGGAACTCGTATTTGAAAGAATATACATTACACCAAATGGGGGAGCACGGGAGCCCCATTGGGATGCCCTTTACCTGTTGCCAAACTGCATTCCCAAGCATCGTGTAGCACCTGGATAGTATCCATTTGTTCAGACTGATGATGTCCTCAGCAGATAAGGAGAAAGAGTTATGTGTGGGGGCATTCTGAGATTTAGACAGGCTGCACTTTACCTCTCCATTCCTTCTATACACACATCTTACATATCTCAGCCCTGCAACTGCATTCATCTGAGAAAAGGCGATATTCACAAAGAATCGAATCGCCACTACAAGATCATCAGCAGAACCACCAATCGGGATATTTTCAAAACACTTCGTAATGTCAGCCGAAAATACTTAATACGCATCAGAGGGTAAATTATAGCAATAATCTTGTACACAGTCAATTACCCACCAGCACGCAGTATCCACCCCATAAAAAGCCTTTGCCATTCTCATGATCTCCCCACAGTGCTCCATAACCATCCCCCTCAAGGTCGCTAGGACCGAATCAACAAGGGTAGCTACGCTTGTGAGAAAGGAGTCAGAGGCATTGGTCAGCCATCTGAACGTCCCTTTGTGTTGCTTGAATATGACCATCAAGTAGGGTAAGCTAGATGAGCCCATTCTTACCTGTGGGACGATCTCCTTCAGGGAGGAGCTCGCTTCATCTATTACCTGCTCTGGCACAACATTCGGGAATTGAAAGTCAGAGTTTGACAGTCTGTCAAGCGCAAGGGCCCTAATTAGATGCTTACACACGAAGAAGGGTGTGCTGGCGGCCTTGTCAGTACCAGCCACATACAGTGTCTCAGTTAAATACTTAATATCACTCTTATACCGAAAGGGCGTATAATTCATTGTTGAGCATCACCACCCTGCAGACCTCATCACCGATCATATTTTTCACGGAGCCCGTCATGTGTCTAACCAATGCGTCCGGAAGAAATTCAGTTCTTCTTATAATGGTTAGTACATCCGCCCATGCCCCTAACAGTACCTCCATCGCCGCCTTCTTATTCGATTGCTTCACCGGAATGTGATTCAGACCTTTCCTCAACAGCCTTGTGAGCAATGGATTACCCGCGACCGCCGGATCCATCGTAAGCACATGTTTCAATGGAATAGGACACGGCTGTGTCATGGCGAGCGTGTCCTCGCTGAGAAATGGTTGCAACCTGACGTTTTGTGAACATGGGCATACTTCCCCCTCTGAAAGAGATTCATACCACTAGCTCAGACTGAACCATTTGAAGACCGACCCAGGTTTGTAAATCTGCCTACAAATGGGATCATTGTACGTCCACCCGAACACAATAGTCAGAAAAACCGTCAGTACAGAGGCATTTACAAATTTTGAAAGGATAGACTCAAATATCCTTGCAACATTGATCCCCTCGAATATCCTTCCAACATATCGAATATGTACGTAACTCGCTCGCCTACTTCCTTCACCACCCAGAGCTCTCCATCTCATTCTGCCCGTAGGTCCCCTCTCCAAGATTCCCTTTTGTACTTGCACAAAACGACACAGAGGCATCTTGAGAGACATCATCTTCAATTGAAGATCGACCGATGAATGTTCCTCTGGTTCCTGCTTTGCCCACCACCGAGCTCCGCTGGTAGGCTGACCCTTCGTCTCGGACCGTAGTTATAGTCGAATCAGCAGGAGTAGAATCAACAGGTACATCACTCGGGTCGCGGGGTGGGTGGATTTCACACAGCCATCTAACGTTTCCTGTCCCTCGCCCCTCGCTCTCTTGTTTCCCGAGGAGGAGGCGCCCCCAGCGTTCCTCGACCTCTTCTTCACGTACTTGGCCATGAGAAACAGTCTGGCACATTTCTTGAATGCTTTACGGTCTGAACCCAACACTCCTCTGAGTACCGTATGAGTTGTGAGACCGGGATCCGCGATGATCCTCTTGCCAAGGAGCATCATGACACCCCTCACACACCCAAATGCGATGGACATGAGCATTAGCGGCTTCCAGCAAGTGGACAGACACTTGATGAGCAGGTTCATCTTCATCCTTGGATTCGGAGCATCTGGATACATGACATCCAGATTGTACAAGAGGAACCAGACCAAGTGGTCAAACCACGCAGGCCCGGTTCCACAATCAGCCCTGCCCTCTACCGTACATCTACACTTGATATATGGTCTGCCTACATTCCAAATCCTCTTCAACTCGGCGAAGGCAGATGGGTTTCGCGGTGGTTTGTTGCCTTTCACCATCACAGAGGGACGAGGGAGGCCACACTTATTTGCATCCATCGAGTTCATGGGGGGCAAGAAAATCCCATCACCATTGAATGGAAACTTAACATCAGGTGGGATCGTGTTCATCTCCAGCGCCCTGTCATACGCAGCTTTCATCTCGTCTTGTGACAGGGAGGCTAAAAGGCGATAGCCTCTTTCATCAATCGGGGCCAGAAAATTGTACGTTTCCAGTGCCCATATCTTACCACTAAACGCATTCGTCATGGTCTCTACCCACCTTGGTGAAGCTAGCGGTAAAAACGCGTTCCTTCTCACATCCGTGAATGTCTTCCTCTTCTTAGAATCCAAAGAGGCCTTTGTGCTGGCCACCTCCGCATCCTTCCTCCTCAAATACTCCTTTTCTTCTTCCGTCAATTCATCCTGGACATCTTCCATCGCCACCTCATTCTCAATCGTCATCCTCCTAACGTCCCTATCTTTATGGAACTAGGAATCAACGCCCCATATTTTTACAAACTTGGACTCCGCATCGATAGTGGTGACATTGATCGTTCTATTCTCCTTGTCCACCTCACTCTTCACGAGCGTCGTCGCCCTCGCCATCTTATTGATGGTACTCACAAACTCCCCCCTCTTATGTCGGTAGACATAAATCAGCTCAGCCCAGTCGTTAAAGGACAGGTGCTCGACCAGGGGCAGGCCATGAATCTCAGGGGTAATAGATCTCTCCCTAATCTCATCTAGGACCTGCTTCTGGGCATATGCAATCAGGGCCTGAGTAGGGCGGGAAGGGGGGCGAAATCGAGCAATCCACGCTTTGTCGCCAGATACTAGATCCGCAATCCACAGCACTTGGGGTGAAACAAAGTCCTGACACAACGAACCCACATAAGCATACAGTAAGCACGCCATCCATAGAGTGACATACGTCTTGACAAGCGATGAAAAGAACCTCAGAGGAAAATCACAGTATGGAAGCCACGAATGAATGGTCGTGGGTTCCAGCCACGAGAGGAGCTTCCATCCAGGAGGGCCTTGGATGGGTGTGTGTGTGATGATGTGTGTGAACACATATTGCGAGGGCCTCAGCACATAAAGGTATGCACTCCAATTCACCGTCACCCCACCAGGCAGATAATCCATTGATCCCCTCCTCACTCCAGTCAAGCGTCAAGCGTTTTCACAACTAAGCATGACCGATGCCATAAAGAGCTGCAAACTGATTCGCATCCGAAAAGACCAAATTCGATACCAAGCACGCATGTGATGCAGACTAATTAAAGCACGTCAATACACTACATATCATTCATGAGAGACACACTGGAGAGAGAATTTCACAGAAAACACATCCGCGAATAACCCCATAAATTCCAAGATGAACAATTATTCATTCCCTTTGCTGAATCAGTACTTCTCATGGATACTCCATCATTCAACAAACTCGCACCCATCCTCATGCAATTCTTAACCGAGCGCCTACTCAGACTATTCCCAATACACAAAGTTCACTCGCACCGAGGTCAGCCCGACTACTCCAAGCGCTACCCCATTACCCGAATACTGATTAATACCCCCACTACTGATCCGGTCTCACCGATCCGATAGATCGCACCCCGGGCCACTGTCATTCACCCGCCATACCCCAAAACCACTCAGCGACTAAACCTCCACGGAGAGATCACCGTGCTCGTTTAGCATCGCACCCATTACCCACCACTCCACCAATTGATCAGAGACCCCCCACTCCGTGTACGAGCCATACACCTACTCCACTCCTCATCAGATTGTAGTGTCATGATCTCATTCAAAAGATGCATCCGAAACCTGGGCTCCCGCCACTCGCCGCTCATCACAAGCGACGATCCATGTCCCTGCTCCCGACATTATCCTGCATACATCAATAGGCAGGCATCCCCCACAGGCCATCAAGTCGCCATTTCCATCCAACCGACCCACCAAGTTGGGAACAAAACAGGAATGCCAAGGCAACACACTTCATCCATAGTACACCAGCAACACACATGCAAGACCGTGGTAAGCCCTCACTATGGATAGCCAAGACCTTGATAGAGACGATGACGGTAAAAAATGAACAAAATAATAACTGAAATTCATGTAGACAGTGAAGAAGGAGGGAAGACGATGCTCATAACGCATCCATGCATGCAATAGGCTCAATAAAACAATACGGTACAGTTTGGTTCTCACACATATACACCGATCACCACTTTACCACAACAAGGGTAGGCGATGATTCATACGTTATACATGGCCAGGGTAATGGCAATTTCCCTTAAACGTTTTTCGCTAGCCCTGCCAAAGGCTAGCTCATCACAGGTAGTACTTATAGTATAGCACATAAATATAACGTTGGTAGTGTACGTACGAGAACCGTATTATTGAAACATTTACTATATGCTATGTGGTAGGGTATAGTGCTAGATGAGAGGGAGCGGGATGCGAGAATTTGCTACGAAAAATAAAAAAAAGAACTTCACCTCTGGCTGCGGGTCACCATGTCCTTCCTCCCAAACGTCCTTCAATCCTTGATCAGCCAAGTGGAGATCGAGCATCTCCTGATAGTTAAAAGGAGCTTCCATTCTCGTTCGCTCCGGCAAAGCACAATACACGAGGGAACAGGCAGCAGCGTGCGCCCGACTCTCAACCGGTTAAGCAGCCACGCTGGCGATAGCACAGTGTCTCCGGCAATAGTGGTGAATACGGACGCGTACAGAAACAGTTGTTGCGGTGATAGCTCTGGCTCATGCGTGTCGTTGGCAAGATCCTGGTAGGTGACTCATGCGCGCCTTAGTGCTCGGGTTATCATCCCGTACACTAAGACCCGTATGCATCACCGACCGAAGAGGGATTTGATAATCCTCATTTCATATTAAATAGTAGGTAATTAGAGCACATCTGCCTCGTCACTCTCATCGACTAAGCCCTCGCCTACTAATTTAGGTTCATGAATCCTGCCCGACATCGCGCCTGGGTCCATTTCAAAATCG